GGAGTCAGACCCACCTTAAACTCTATCATGGTATCAGAGTTCAGGTTCAGTTGAGCTGAGCGCTTGACCAGCGGGTGAGGAGTTAGAGCCAGTAACTACCTCCAATAACAGGCATGACCCAATATATGGGCTTGACCATGAGGGAGAGTGTTAGAGTCTCATATCGACTAGGCACACTCAAACCTATTAGGTTATAAGAGGGGGTAATCCTCTCATTCAACAAGACCTTATTGGATGAGGAGTCAGGCCCACCTCAAATTCTATTAACATTTCCAACTTCCAAACACCTAAAAGAAGAAAATATGTTTCTCATCCACCAATTGCTTTTGCAGGGAATAGTTTTTTTAAGCTTTAACTGCATCAGTTGATTCCCTTGGGCCTCAACCTGTGAAATGGGATCAAGTGTGCGCGAAACCCCATCAAGATCTCAATTCGCGGTACTATATGCAGGTATAGCTCTGGCATCGATGGGTTCTGGGGGAACTCAACTTACTTTGGCGAAACATATTTTTAGTATTTGAGACTAATTAAATTATATATTTTTGAGGTAACTGTGGCAGTAAAAAGGATAAAATAATGAGTATCTGTTTGCATAGGAAAAATTGTCGATCCAGATTTTCTCCATTTTGAAAAATATGATTAACTTTTTTCCACTTGGTAAAAGGCTAGGTAATGCCAAAGCTTTAACCACCCCACCATTATTTAACTCCAGAACACATAAGTGCGGAAGAGGAGACTGAGGTCATTCTGATTTCAATAGCTTTTTAAAGTTAATATATATGTTGACTTGAAGTAATTTGGATGAATTCTTCCACTAATGGGGATATCCATGGCAACAATTCGCGCAACTCCTCCTTATCACTGTATGTCCAGAGTCTATCCATTAATACTATATTTACAATCTATTTAATAGCACATATTATAAGTATCACAATTTTATTTGATAGGATTCGATCTTTTAGATAAAAGTGATACCATATATATGCACAAAAAGAATATTCTAAAGCTTTTATATGTTATTGGTTACTTGTGTGGATAAGGCCTATGTTAAAGAGTATATAGTTTCGATCATGGGGATCAATTTCTAGCTGCATAGCTTTATAATCATAATAATTTTGTAAAACTTCTAGATAATTTCCTTCTGATTGAGCTAACATCTATTACAGTCGTCATTCAATTTAAAGAATTCTCAATTCTGAAAACATACTTAAGATTTTCATCTCATATGATTCCTCCCTGATGTATACAGTGAAAATGATATATGGAATAATAAAAAAAGATTGAAATATTCTCATTATGAACGGAGTGGAGATGATGTTTTTACAAAATATCTCTAGCCTACAAAAGACTTTTTCTTAACATCACGCATGTTAGTACTAGTACTAGATAAAATAAATAAAAACTCCAACAATTTCTTTATTCTCAACGCCAACAGTCTTTGATGATTATAAGGGTATCTAAAGTACGAACGAGATAGATTTATCCCAACCATTCTTCTTAGTCTCGATTCGGATCGTATAACTACCTATGTCATTTATGATATGAAATATTTTACATATAAATTTCATATGTTTTAAAAAATATGATTATTAAATTGTATAATAACTTTACGTTATGACTAAACCTGGTCAAAGAACTTTTACATCATCAGAATATTGAGATGTTGGCGTATTAGGATTCCTTATATATATATAATTTATTTATTTTTCAGTTTGGCGGAAGTGTGACAATTTCATTGATAATAAAGACTGCATACTATCTTGGACACCCCAGCCATAAAAAATAAAAAATAAAACTGAAAATCGATGATTATTTCTGTTATATATATATATATATATATATATATGTAAACTGAGGCTTTTACAAGCGGTGTGGTATAGCTAACAATTGCAAGCTAAAGTAAAAACTGATGACCGAATAAAAATATGCTGTAGCCCAATTGCGTACGTGTTCTGTAATTTGAAGTAAAACCAGCCCTTAGATTGCTGGTGGTGGTGGGCCTCTAGGGATAAAACGTCTTATTCTTACATCTTTTCCATGGATATTGGACTGCACTATCTCTGTCTCTCCAAGAATCCTTTTAATATATTGTGGTGAAGTTACCACCACGCGAGCAAACAATTCACTCATATATATATTCTCGATACAGTCTCCTCCATATCTCCTGCATTAAATCAAACTCCCACTGTTAATAATCATAATAACATAACCCACATCACTACATAATTAAGCATTGAGACATGGAAATTACCTGGTGAAAAACTGTTCAAGTTCTTGATGTGTAATGGGATGACCCTTAGAAAAAGTTACAAACAGAGTCTTATTATCAAAATTGTGACTGCCATTATTAGCTTGCTGATCTTGCCTAGGTTGGCTTTCATCAACCACCGAGTGTGAATGATTTCCATTATCTTCACATAATTGATCAAACACCATCTGGGGCAAATAATTTGACCCATTATTATCTTGCACTCGAACAATTTCACCATTCGGGATTGCCCCATTAACCCCATTACCCGAACTTCTTGTTCTTGGGGTTATGTCATCAAAAATCATCTTGCATACATTCCACTTAAACACCTTCATGTGTCTTTTTGCATGCACTTTGTATTCGTACACGACTCCAAAAGAGAGAGTCTTCCCAGCAAGACTACAAATTTGTGGAAGCAATTTCTCATCATCAATCGCAAAAGATGCTCTCTTTAAACAATCCAGGCATGCCTCAGACTCCTGTGATAATTCAAGAAATAACGGAAGAGGCAAGTCTAGTGAATTTTTGACAAAGTTAACGTAACCAATACGTTCAAGCCAATTCCAGAAGGCCACAATTTTGGAGCCGATTTTAGGAGACAAACGCAAGTCTGACACTAAACGAGCATATGCTATGCGATCAATATTGTGAAAAATTTTAAGCTCTTCTTGAAGACTGCAAGCCATTCTTGATGTTTGATTTGATTGGAAGAGCGAGAAAGAAATCAAGAGAGTGATTTGAATGGTATTTTAATTTTGAAGAGTAAGTGGTGGGTATTTATAGAATTAGGTTAAACAAGTCCTAGTAAAGCTAGGTATTTTAATTTCTTGTTGGCGTTTATTGTTTTCCCGATTGAGACCGGAATATTGTGAAAGAGATCAAATCTTTCCTGATGTCTATTTGTATTAAACACTTCTTTATTTATGAATAATCCATTATTATTGATTTTATAAATTTTAAAATTATAATCCTAAATTTAAAGGAGAGAATTTTTTTTTTTTTTTTCTTAAACATATTGCATTGCAACCCACCAATGAAAAGATGCGACATTTACTCCCTCACTGGTTCCTTGCATTTCATCTTATATGCAAGATTTTTTTTTTTATTTTTAGAGTTAGAAATTGAGTAACATAAGTATTCATTGTACTGGCAATGTTAGTCTCAATCTCCACCCTTGAATCACCTCCATATCTTACATCCTATATTTATGGAATGATCATGAGAAAAAAAAAAATGGATAAAGATTGGCTCATAACCCAATTTTACAAACTTTTTCTTATAATCCTAACGTAACAGCTCACAATTGATCAGCTCGCAAATGGGTCTCCATTTGCGAGCTGACTAATTACGAATTGTCACGTCAAAGTTATAAAATTGGATTATAAGGGTAGTATGACTCAATAAAAATGTGGTTTAATCCTTGATGTGTCTTAAACATATACTAAATATTTTTCGGATTTTTTGCTAGTTGGAATTTAAAATAAGAATTTTTTTTTTTTCAATTTTTGCTAAGTTATTGGATTAACTACTATTCCATTGATTTATTCGCAATAAAAAAATGGTGATCATATTCATCAATTGGATTAAACATATATAATTAAAATAATGTTTTATCATCTAGAAAAATCTAAAAAGATTGATCAATTAGTTTAAGTAACATTAAAATTAAACATTGGTATGTAAAATCTCATACAGAATCTTAGGCACTGTCGTTAACATTCAAATGCAACTCTTATTGCGAATAAATCTACACTTTTGTCTCCTCTGTGTGACCATGCAATTATTTAATCCTATATTAATACATACAAGTTTGTGCGTATGTTTCTCGTCATGTATTCTTTTTTAATTTGACTTTGAGTTATATCCATACTTGTCAATCAAACACTTCCAACATACATCCAATTCCTGATAAACTAGATCTACTCTACAATTCCCAACCATGTTTTAATAAAATGCCGAGGTGAAACCAACAAACTTATCAGGTTCGGGTTGACCGGTGGTCAAACTAGGTGACAAAAATTTTAAAATTTAGTAAACACACTTCTAAAAGTTTGAAGTCCATATAAGTTTGAAATTTAGCAAACACACTCCAAATACAAATCGGCCATTAATTGATTGGCAACGACAACATACCAAATACAATTTCAATCATCCATTGAGCCCATTCCCTAGAAAATCTACCCAATATTTGATCAAAATCGATTCGATTTCAACCAGATCTCACTGACGTCGACATCGACATTCTAGGCCAGATCTCACCAACGTTAACATCGACATTCTAGGCCAGATCTCACCGACGCTAACATCAACAACCCTCCTCATCACCACGAAAATATTCCCCTCAATCTTTTGACCAAAACCCACCTCACCCCACCCCCGTTAGCCTCGCCAATCACCGACAAAAGCCAGCTATTGTCGCCGCCTTTTTTTTTATTTTCGGTCGATTCACTCACCGGAAATCAACTTTGTCACCACCATTACACTCACTAACACTTTCTCTTCAAAAGCCCCAATATCCCGACCTTTAATTGTTCGCTGATCATCATCCCAATTTATAGGGTTTTTGGTGAATAGTAAAACGAGTAATCCAACTCAATGAAAGCCCTAGTTTCCTGTTCAACCGGCCAATCCAAGTTTTAAAACACTGAGTATTTTTTTTTTTTTTTTAATTCTGATTATTTTTCAATAATTAAAACTTGTCTAAAATGTGCTGACAGAATTCAGAGTATACAAGTCAATAGAACAAAAATTACACTTTGTAGATGGTTGCGTGGATAGAGAAGAAACAAATTTGCTTTGGTACAAATATCAGAGCAACCCATAATTCAGGCAATAATATTTGCTCAGAATATGGCGTGGTTCAAAATCAGTCACGATGTTAGTGACAAAAGAATGATTAGGCATTAGCAAACCCAAGTCTGATTAATTAGGAACTGGATGGAGGGATGTTGTTGGTAAATTTTGTACAGTCATATGGACCAATTCCTTGATTGTTCTTTCGCTTCACCTGAAATTATTTACATTTCAGATCAAAATACCACTAACAAATTTAATGTCACAACAAAAGAGAATATCTAGAAAAACTAGTAACGTACCGGCGACCATGGACCAGGTTCATTTTGAGTCTTGTCTGGGGGTGAATGTTGCACAGCACCTCTTTTCATGGTTAGAATTTCCTGCAGAAATATTTGTGTAAAATGCATAGATTTTGATCTTTAAAGAAGTAAAATTTATGATTATCAAACTTAGAATTTGAATAGGTAGCTTTGAGGCTACTGAACATCATGAAATGCCATTGGAAGAGCAATTCCTGGCTTTAACTGTCACATGGACAAACCCACCAGCTAATCTTATGTTATCAAATTGGAGGATTTTTCAACCCAAAAATAATGCGGTTTCAGTTTCCTCTTCACTACGTATTCAAACAAGGCAGGATGATAAACATCTTATCTTCAAAACAAGATATGTCTACTTTAAGATATTTTAATTTTGTTCCAGTCAGTTGCCATGAGTGTCCCAGACCTAGAGGTTATGCATACGATTTCTAAGTAGAGGAACCAGTAATTGTACTGCCTTGCAACTCTAGATCAAAGACAGAATCTAAGTTCGACAGGTAAAGAGAATTGATAGTACCTCTCCAGCAGCTTCAAATGCAGCTAACCACTCATCAGAAAATGGAACAGCATGTGGAGGAGGTTTTATCACCAGATTATCTTGCTTCTTATCATTCCCAGATTTATTACTGCATACAAAAGCCAGGTTCAGAAGCAACTGAACATTTTTATGATAGTATGAGAACAGTTCTCTAAATGAAAATAGGAATAAGTTTAAAACATGAAAGTAAAATCAGAAAAAATAAATTAGAACTAAATACTTACAGAAGTTTTGTTGTATCCTTATCTTTTATGACATCATCCAACTCATGGTGGATTTCATTATTAGGACTGCTGTTCTTTTGAGAAATGATGGTTTCAGCTTCCTTAGGTGAAACATCACTCGTCATTGAATTAACATTTACTTCCGGTAAGACACTCCCAGTTAATGACATCGTTGCAACTTCTGACTCATGCTGCATTTCAACAATAGCTCTGCCATCACTTTGAACTATACTAACTTCTTCTGGCAAAATATCAATCTTCATTGAATCAGCATTTACATCTTGAAAGACGCTTCCAGTTAATGACATTGTTACATCATCTGTGACATACTTCTCATCTAGCTCAAGCTGCATTTCACCAGTAGAACTCTCATTGTTTTGAGAAATACTAGCTTCCTCTGCAAAAGTATCACTCTTCAATATGTCAACTTCTATATTTTCTATGCCTGACACTGACTGATTTGCTTCAACCGAAAACATAGATTCTTTGTTCAGCAAACAAAATGTATGAGAATCGCAAGAATTTGCTGTTAATGAATTTTGACCTTCATTCATATTCAAAGACACACCACATGTCAATGACCAAGTAGGAGAACTAAGTTCATCATCATCATGCCTGAACTTCGTATCAGTATAACACTCAAGATTTTTGACCGATGGTTCAATCTCAACAGATCCTGACATTTTACCCTCCTCAGATGGGTACTCTGCCTTCGGGTCCTCATCAACACCATCATACTTAACTGCTGTGGCTGCCTGAATACATACAACAGAACTTACTTCATTTACACAAGCATCAAATTGGTGTAAAACAACATCCATGACACTTCCACAGACATTCCTCTCCAGCAGCTCTTCAGAAGAACAGTTATTTACAATCAGCGTGACACCCAAACACAATCCATGAGCATCTAAGGAAGCTTGTGCAGCTACAGGGTCAGAAAAATGTACATCATCAACATCCACAGAGGACTTACCCTTCACTTTTGAAGAAGTGAAGTTACAGTTGCAGCTATCAACTGATAAACTCCCATCTAAAACCAGCATCTGGGCATCTTCCACAAGTGAATGCTTAAATGTATCACCAACTACAGCAACTTCTTCATTTGTTTGCTTTACATATTCATGTTGACATAGAGCATGAGGGCTTTCCGGTTCTCTACCAAAACAGCTGGGAGCATCCAGACAAACATCTACAACTTCACTAGAATTAGATTCTCTGGACTTTTCAAAAGGCATGCACTCCTCAAACAACAGTTCATCATAAGCCTCTTGAATCTGGTTCCCCTCAGTGGACAGAGTGTTGACAACATGTGTGTAATTCAACTGATTGTTGTGCACTATTGATGTATTTTGCTGGCAATAGTAAATATCATCTCCAGGCTGTAATTCAGAATCAGAACGGTAATTTTTTATTGATAAATTACATTGTTTGTATTCTACAAGTTCATGTTCAACACTGGGGACTTTAGTGTTGCCATTGGTTACCACACCTGATTTTTGATATTTATCCAACATTTGTGACATGCCAGAAGTAGTTTGATTATGGGGTTTGATATCACACCTGAAATCTGGATCCATCAAACCTGACTTTGTATCATCATGTGGGTGCTCTACAGCCATATCAAAGCCACTATCATGCTGTGTCAGTTGTTTTGAATAAACAGCACCAGAACTTTTCAATTCACTTCCATTAGCATCAATTACAGTTTCATTCACATCAACAACCATATTATCCAAGGCTGAAGAGCCCAAAACAGCTTTTCCCATTCCAACTGATTGACTGACATCAGCTGTCTGCGCTTCTGATTTGGTACAGAAATTATCAACTCCAGCAACGCATTCTTTTCCTTCTGGACTGGAATTTGCAACCTTTGTCCTTGTGCACTTCTGAAACTCTGAAGATCTACTCTCCCTGGAAAAACTGTTATTATTTATTGATGGACTTTGTGTCTCACTTTTAATCTGATCAACCTGCAGGGTAGAAGGCATTGTCTCCTCATCTTGCTTCATCATTTCTTCATTAACACCATGCGCACAACTTAACAAATCATCATGCTGTTTTGAAGTGCCCTTAATACTATAAACATTGGCTTCTCCAGATTGTGGCTCTAAAACAGTACCATTGGCATCTCCAGATTGTGACTGTGAAGAGGCACTGTGATCCTTAATTGACGCACTGCACATTTTGCCCTCTTCACATTTGTTGTCAATCATATCCTTTGTCTCAAAAACACCTTGAACTTGCACTGCCAGTTGAAGTTGGGGCGTAATATAATCATTCTCCAATTTAGACCCAGTCAATTCTATATTCATTGGGCAAATATTGGAAACTCTCTCTTTAGCTTCATCTTTCATGAATTGGCCAGATGGTGCACTTAGTAAGAGCAATCTATTATCACTACACTGTAGTTCATTATCCACTGCGTGAGAAATCTTCTCATTTGTTCTTCGATCCACAGTTTTCAGAGATTGATCAATATCATTGCAAATATGTAAACTTTGCTCGCTATTTACAATGTCGAAACTGTTAGAGTTAGATGGGACATTCAGTTCCACCTTTCGAGTAGCATTTCCATGCAAGTTGGATTTTGTCTTTTCAAGTGAACCAGAATTAAGATTAGATGGACAAGAGGATCCTGTAACTGAGCTTGAGACTCTCAGATTTGCACTTGTTGTCATGCCAGAAACAATGTCAGGTATCTTCGCAGGTACAGGAACAGGACTCTCATGAATAACATTAGAGGCATCAAATTTCCTCAAATTAGGAATGTTGGACTTGGGAACATTGCAAGCTTTATTACTTCTCTGTAATAAACTATGTGCAGAGGAAGTTTTTGACTGCAAGTTATCATGAATCAAAGAACAAAAAATATCAATCAGAATCTTTGCCACACAGCTCTATAAATCGCTGAAAATATCTGTTTGAGTCTACCTGATTAAAGAATCCCAATGACGGCGACGGCATCCGCAAACCTGATGGTTTTGCAGTTTGCAGTTGCAAATGTTGCATGTTTGCACCACTACGGGGAGCCTTTGGTGGAAAAGAAGTTGCAATTTTGTTGGAATTCCCATCATCGTTGTTTGATGAGTGCCCAGAAGCTGGAAGAGCTGGACCTGGGTTGATCTTTGAGGCATCATTAGCTTTGGTGATAAGAGAATGTTGTGAATTGGTTGACGAATGGATTTCCAATGCTGAGCTGGCCTGTAGGAATGAAAATAAATCAAAACAAATAATGCAAGCGTTCCATGGTTAAATGGAGTATTTTATAATAATAACCATGTTCAGCCATAGAGCATCGTACAATATAGGTTTAGAAAAGCTTAACATTTCTAAATGTTTCAAGTTCTCACCACATTTCTTCTAACTTGTTGCACAGAAGATTTCACGACTACCGATCTGCTGGGTTGCGAGCCAGATCTTGCATTGCTTCGAGCACTTGTAGAATTTTTTGAGGAACTCTTTGGTCCAATGTTTCTTTGAACACTGACTGCTGTTTGAGAAAGAACAAAGCAACAATTGCGAATATATGATTTTCATCTGTTGTAAACGTTGAATTATACTTTACAGAAAAGAGTAATGTATTGTACAACACATAAAACATCAGATAAAGATATGACAATTGACAAATCATAATGTTAAACAATTTGAAGTAAGGTGTTAAATTTATAATCCTTAATATACAACAGACACGAAGAAGAAACACACTCACGCTTTGAGTGTTTATATGAGTACTATAACAGTTAAATGAATATTCTTGACCACTTTATACCTCACGTCACTCACTTATGTTAGCACTAAATACATTTTGAATTTTTATGATATTTCTCTTACCTATATCTCTCATTAACTTTTATTTACTCTCTCACTTTTTACTCTCAATACAAGACCTAATTCATAATTACAAGTTCTTTGAAAATTTTCTTTATATTTCTGGTTGAGATTGATTTGCGAGTAACTTCAAGAAATATCGGTGGAGCAATCACATGACCAAAATTTAATCATAAGATAGATCTATGACTGTAATGCTAGAGAGCACTTGATATATCAACACTTTATGAAAATTGTTGACCACTTTATATCTCACGTCATTCACTTGTGCAAAACACTCAACACACTAAGAAATTTCTACGACATTTCTCTCATCTATATCTTCCACTAACTTATACTACTCACTTTGTTCTTATACTTTCTTGTTTGGTCAATACAATACCCAAGGCTTGTGGTATATCTCTCTCACAATTAAGAAATTTTAAACAAGGAAAAAGAAATCTATACTATGGGTAGCTCTTGATATATCAAAAGTTCCCTAACATCAGAGTCATAGATCTATCCAATGATTAAAGCTCAGTCATGTGATTACTCTGTCGACATTTAAGAAGTCTAGAAGCCACCCACAAATCAATCTCAGCCACAAGCACAAAGAAAAATCTCACACAACTAGTAATCATGATATACATATTTGATTGTTGTCTTGAATAAAAATATTAAAATAATGGTTGTAACCGACTTAAAAGCCTATATAAGACAAGCCTCGGGTCTTGTATCATGCAAGCAAACCAGTGTTTGTGTACGAGGAAAAAGCAATAATAAAAGTTAGTGGGAAACATAGGGGAAAGAAATGTCATAAAATTTAAAAGTAAGCTGAATGCTTGCATAAGACAGTGATGTGAGGTGTCCAAGTGGTAAATAATTTTGATACAAGGTTGTATTCATGTAAGAGCTCCTGTGAGTAAGTTTCTTCTTAGTGTCTATTGTATATAACATTTGTACTGTAAATTTATATAAGTATTATGATAATATTAAAGAAATTATTCCTTTTTCAGGTGCCATAAGTTCATTATGATGTGCAAATGAGAAATTTAATTCAACCAATATATCCGCTAGCATAAGAATTTAAACCCCTCCCGAAATTAGAAGATTTATGCTTCAGTTACCTGGTTGAACATTCTGATTCCTTTTTAAGTTGCTCACACCCGGAATAGTGCTTATAACAGTTGCAGGATGCGCAGAGGGATCCGGTTTTCGAACTGGTATCTTTGACACACTTAATTCTTTAGTTGCTGCTTTCGTTGTACTCACATTCGCAGGTCTTTTCACAGTTCAAAGAAGTTAAGGCCAATATTCTCCAATTTAATAGATAAAGAACAAGGGCCAACTGCCCACGTAAACTTCTAGTAACCACAAAACTCTCCCACTGTATTGTATAATTTTATCAAAAGGATATGTAGATGAAGCAACAGGTCGTGGACAACCACTGCGTTTAGATCCACTTCTGTTAACATCTTGAGCTGAAAGCACCTTTCGCTTGGCCTGAGGAGGACATGTTCAACACGACTAGAATTAGTTTCATTTGACCCAACTTTCAACTGACAAGAGAATGTCAAAAAGAAAAGCAAAACATCGGCAGCCCAAGCAAGTATAAGAACACTAACCACTGAAGGAGATGCTACATTACGATTAACTCCAGCCGATGCAACCTTCTTTGGCAATGATGAACCAGCACTCTTCCTATCCTCCTTTATAGTACTTGCTGGCGGCTCCTTAAACAAATTTTCTTCAAGAGCTGTCAAATCTTCTGATTCACCCACCAACGATTCTCTCCTATCTTCATCGATAACTGACAACATCTCCCCGCTAGACTTACCGATGTTGCCACTAATTAAAGACAACTCTGAAGGATCCAAAACACCTGACCAATAAATAAAAAAAAAAAAAAAAAAACAACTAGTAAGTATAATCCAATAATTGTTTTTACCTCCCATCTTCAACTTCTATCGCGGGAATAAAACATTATGAAATCCAAAACCACTTATTAGACCACCTTCTTCAGTAAAGAAAGCTCGGTTCCATGCTAAGCTTTTGCGCAAATTGTACCCTCCACCCTTCTTCTTCCTCTTCATCTGTTGCGGCTCCATACTGAGTTTTGGCACTTCTGGTTTGTTCATACTTGTATTCTCTTCATTAACACTATCTCTGCGTGTTGACAAATTTAGATCTTCTTCGTTCTCCTTGCCCGTCACTCCCGCTGCAATATCATAACGTAATTTAGTTGACATTCTCATATAAATTTAATGAATTAAACTAATTAGCATTCAGTAGAGAAACACACCATTATTAGCTCAAAATTCCTTCGTATAGCTCGTAATAAAGCTGAAAACTAATTAATTCGCTAGAATATGACGAATTCAAAATCATCCAGGAAGATTGTTTAGAAAAATTACAAATTTTTTGAGCAAAATAATAGAATCGCTAATATAAAAGAAAATTTAGAAAAAGAAAACTAGAAAAGGAAAATTGTATAAATCACAGCACAATGTGAACATAATTAAGCGAAATTAATCGAATAATCCGCATCCAAGAAGCGAAATAGATTGAAATAAACACAACGAGATACTAAGTGGAAACCCTAACCAATTGGAGAGACAAGAGGCGGAGGAGGATGAATGGAACGGTTAGATCTAGGGATCAGCATAGGCGAACAAGTGAAATAGGTCTTTTTGAAACTTTTTACGTCGTCATCAGGGCTCTGTTGCAGCGGCAACAGCGAATCATCTTCGCCGGAGATCTCTAGAAACGACATGTCATCCGGCTCCATTTCTCTGATATGTTTATCGGTTATTCAGTTTGGGTGTGAAAGCAAATTTCAAATTGTTGGGCAGGCGGGATGTGTTAAAGAGACTAGCGAACGGAAGACAATGATCACGTGACGGCTACTTTTTTAATTTACAATAACGTCCATAGTATTTCGGAAGATTTACCGCACAAATTTGAATTTCCATTGAAATAAATGCTTTTGACCCCGAACTTTAAGTTTGGGTATGAGCCGGGTTGTCAACTCCATATATTCGGGCCCCGTCTTCATTTAGATAAATCATATTAAGGGAGAACGACAAGTTAGTACCCAAAAGGTTTTGAAATGACAAATAGGTACTTTCCGTCATGTTCTGTTAGTGATTTCTGTTTATTACTGTTTATTAATAGTGAAAAGACTAAAATGCCCGTAAAGTTTGAATTTTAGTTTTTATAAATTTAAAAATTTCAAAAAACCCCAAGTTTACAAATTTCACTAAATACCCCAATAATAAAAGTTTTATAAAATAACAAAAACACCCCCACCGGCAAGTGCAGATTCGGCCACCACCGCCGGAATCTGGCCGAAAAGTTGCGTTACGACACAGACCCGTCGGATCTGTGTCGTAACGCGTCGATCGGCCTTTGTCGCCAGATCCGTGGGCTGATCTGGCCGGAAAAGGCCAGATCTACGGCTAGATCTGGCCGTCGACGCCGCAAAACTCCATCTGCGGCGTCGAAGGCCAGATCTGGCTGCTGCTTCGAGGCCAGATCTTGCCTTTTCTGGCAAGATCCGTGGCGGATCTGACCGGAAAAGAAAGATCGCACGTTCGACCAGATCCGACGGATCTGTGTCGTAATACGTTTTCGGCCAGATTCCGACGATGGTGGCGGGATCTGGCATTGGGTGGTGGGGTTGTTTTGTCATTTAACAAACATTTTATATATGGGGGTGTTAATTAAATTAGCAAACCTAGGGGTTTTTTAGAAATTTTTAAATTTATAAAAAACAAAAATTGAACTTTGAAGGGCATTTTAGTCTTTTACTATTAATAAACAAAAATCACTAACAGAATGACGGAAGGTACCTATTGTCGTTTCAAAACCTTTTAGGTACCAACTTGTCATTACAGTAAATTTGGTATGTACAAGTCGTTCGCCATCATATAATTATAATTAATTAATAATAAAATATATCTAATACGATAACAAATCATCATCTCTCTCACACGTTTAACGCTTATTAATTATTCAATCAAAGTTTTTTAATTAAACCCGCACGGTTTCCTCCATTCTTTGGTTATTATTAATTAATGTGAGATTGCTTATGAATAAAAATAGTTGATAAACATTTATCACAATTTTCTCTTTCAACACTGAGTGGTAATTTGCAATTGGTCATCGCATTTGATCAGACGGAACCTATAGAATTAATCAATACGAGTTAATATGTCGCATTTGTGAGCAAAGTGAGTGTGAAAAAAGTTTGTGAGTAAGTATTAAGAGTGGAAAAAACCGAATCGATTTTGGTTTAAAAAAAAATGAACCGAAACCGGTCCGGTTTCGGTTATAACCAAACCTAATTTCGGTTCGGTTAACTGGTTTTAAACCGGTTAATTAGATTCGGTTTCGGTTATAAACCAAACCTAATTTTCGGTTCGGTTAACTGATTTTAAACCGGTTAATTATGATTTATGATGGGCTGTATTTTTCGACCCAATTTGGTCAGATCATCCACTTTGACCCATTTTTTTTAGGTTTTTTTTAACTTGAATTAAAGTTATATTTATTGTAATTAAATAATTTGAATTCATATATTTTAATGTACATCCAATATTAATAATTTAAAATTACAAATCAAAGATTGCAAAAACAAAAACGCTCTGATTTTAAATTATAAATTACACAAAGACATTTACAAATCAAACATATGCAAACCAAAAAATAGTCCCCTACTGCCAACTTAGTTTCCACCCTAAAATTATAAATCAAACACATGAATAAAATGAAAACATATAAACCAACTGTTAATTAAGAAAAAGCGAAATACTTATTAGAATAATAAGTTGGGTGCGTTTGGTTTAGTTTGGATAGGATTTTAGGGATAGTATTAGGTTATTGGATATGGGAGTATTACGAGGTAAATTTAAAAATTATAAAAAAGCCCTTAGGTTTACTAATTTAAATAAAGACCCTAACATGTAAAATGACAAAAAACACCCCACCATCTGCAGTGTCGATTCGGCCACCACCGCCGGAATCTGGCGGAAAATTTCGTTACGGCACAGACTTGTCGGATCTGTGCCGTAACACGTCATTATGGCCTTTTCCGGCTAGATCCATGGTGGTCTGGCCGGAAAAGGCCAGATCTACGGTTTGTTTGGCCGTCGACGGCCGGAAAAGGCCAAACGACGGCATCTTTGTCCGTCAGCGACGGCCAAGAGGTGGCCGTCGTTTTCGGTCAACGATGGCCATATTGGCCGTCGTTGACCGTCAACGACGGCCATTTCTTTGCGTGCGCTGCGGCCAGATCTGGCTTTTCCGGCCAGATCGTGGTGGATCTGGCGGAAAAGGCCACAGCGGTGAACTTCCGCCATTTCTGGTCGGAAGTTTGGCCGTTGTACAGATTCCGGCTATCACCGACGGTGGTTGCCGAATCTGACAAGTTGGTGTGGGGGTGTTTTTGTTAATTTTTAAACTTTTTTTTAGGGGGTATTTAGTGAAATTATAACCTTATGGGTTAAAATGTAATTAAAAAAAATAGGGTAATATTTTGAGAATATTGTACCAAACGCATTTGAAAAATAGGATCCAGAATAGGGATAAAAATATTAAACCAAACGCATACAAAATGTTTTTGATTGATTAATTGATGAAGGAAAAAGAAAAAGAGAAATAGTAGTAAATATAATTTTAATTTAGGCATGAGAAGGATGGTTGGTTGGTTGTTGGCCTTTCGTTCGCACCAAGAAATACAAAGCAAAGAGATGAGGTCATGCACCAGAAACAAACAACGACATGGAGACTGGAGCGACGACGTCAACTGCAGCTAAGTTCACTAGTAGGCACGCGTGAGGGACCTAGGGAACCCAGACGACGACAATAGTGAGCCAGCGACTTGGTGAAGGAAGAAGAATGGTGACTGCGACTAGTGACTGCCGATTGTTGAGCAAAAGATCGGTGAGCAAAGATCGGTGGCGTGAGCAACGTGAGAAATTTGTGTGGCTACTAGCTAAGGCGTGACTGCGTGAGAACAGAGAACTGAGAGACAGTGAGAGTCCGAAAGAGAGTGAGAGACAGAGACAGAGACAGAGACAGAGTCACTGAGACTCTGAGAGTTATTGAGGTGAGTGAGGTATGAGTAGTGAGTATCGTGAATAGTGAAGCAGTGAGTATACTGAGTAGTGAGTTTAAGATTTTAAGTTAGCCAGTTAGGGTGTTAGACTGTTAGGGATTGCAAAATAAAAAACCTAAAATGCATAATTTTTTTTAAAAATTTAGTTCAAAAAACTGGTTCCGGGTAACCGGAATTAATTTTGCCAAAAACCGAAACCGAACTGGATATTCGGTTTTTTTAATAATCGAACCGAAACCGAAAAAAACTGAATTTTCGGTCCGATTCGATGTCCAGGGTTTTTTTTCCACCCCTATATAGTATTACTGTAATCCTATATCACCTTTTATGGTGCGTCTAGTTAGGGTAATCTCTCATTACTCTAATAATGTCATCTTTTAAGATGTGTTTGGTTAGAGTAATCCTATAATTCCTTTAATAATATCACATTACCATAATTTACTGTTTGACTGTCAACTGTCAAGTAATAAAATATTTCGGTAATTTTTTAATATTAATAGTAATTACAGTAGATTATATAGGGATAATCTAAACACCACTCATTTCTTAGATATTCTATGATTATTTTGTAATCTTAATTTTGTTTTAATTTTACCCCTAATTAATAATGTTATTAATAATATAATATAATAATATTAAAAAAGAAAGACAATTCAATAAAAAACTTATCCCAAAACTATGTTATTCCTCTTAACCAAACATATTAATTATTTGAGTAATACTACACTTACAAAGATTTTCATATAAAGTGAGGTGGTAAAAAATGAATGGAAGAGTAAAATTTCACTCTTTCATTCATTTTTTGCCACTTCACTTTATATAAAAAAACATATTTAATATAACATTTATCTCTTTATTTGTTTATCTCATATTAAATACATCCACTATTAATGAGATGTCAAATGGGGAGAAATATAAATAAAAATTTGTAAAGTGTACATTTGATCAAAATGTTTTCAGAACCAGTTTTCAAATGTGAAAATGCGACTCCAGGCAGAATGTAAACCGTCTTTATTTTAGTACATGGAAATTTAATACAAGTAAACACAAAACCAAAATTGGGTTTACTTAATAAACTATAAACACTAGCTAATGTTGCACTCTCTTGAGTTACCACCCCCTTCAGAAGAGGCATCACTATCTGAAAATCCCAAAACATAAGCCTCCCCTTCATCTTCATCATCACTCTCAACATCAGCTCTGTTGTATCTCCTTTCAATGTATGCCAAAGTTTGCCGCCTCTGCAGCCTCAAAACATGCATGATAACATCAGGAGTAAGATTTATCCGTGAATGGTCCTCTCTTTCCTGCCTATTAGACTCCATAATCTGCTCACCAACATATAAAATTTAGAAAACATAAAATAAATGAAAATAAGATTCAGTAGCATGTTTGTGTCTAATATCTTTATAGATAGTACCTTTTCTACATTGTCAGGCAATGGAGGAACATTACTCGCCATGGGAGCCCAGAGCTTTACACTTCTTTCTATTCCACAAGTTGCAAACATTGGCAAATGAGGATGGGGCTCAAGTTGATTTACTATATTCCGGTCACCTAACATTAACCGTACCAATTTACCTCCCTTCTTCTTCCAAACAAATATATGGCCACAGTCAGACCCACTTAAGACATATTCATCATTGGGGCCAAAAAAACTCACTCCTTTAACAGTCTGTGAATTTCTATG